ACAAGCTGACATGACCAAGACATGTGCCAGGATGGCCTGCTGGTGAAATCCCTGTCCCTCAGAATGCTATTTTCTCTCTTCTTTCTTCAGCAAAGAATAGTTCTCCTTGAACAGCACAGAAGCAAACCAAAGTGAAAAGGATGCCCAGGTATTTTTGGTCTTGTGCAAAGACCATTTGTGTGGTAGTCCAGCATCACTCTCCAACAACACAATTCCAAATCAAGGCACTCGTCACTATACTAGTAGGACATACAACCAGGGGCACTCAGTCCTCAACCTCACTTGCCATTCTGCCCCATGTAATTCCCTGTGCAGGGCCAGTGTCTGAGACTTCACTCTAAGGACTCTGCTGCACATAGCCATATGTTTGTTCATCTCACCAGAGAGTACTAAGAACACAGGCTCAGCAGCCAGACTCCCTAAGTTCAAGTCCCAGGCCAGCCAAGAAGCAGGAATAGAACCAAACTTTGATCTCAAAAGCAAATGTCAACCACAACCAAATGGAAAAGCAAGAAAAAAGCAATTCCTAGGTAAAAAAACGAAACCCTGATACCAGTTGAGAAGTAACTCAAGGTTTCACGTGCTGTGGTCTTGCCCATCCACAGGTGCCCAAGACCAAGAGGCCACTGGAATCATGCTGGTAGGAACAGGAGCTTAACCAGTATTTTGGTCAAACGAACAGAAAAGCAGCTGCGTGTAGAAGGCTGAGAAACTGTCTTATAGAGTGGAAGCCAGGCTTTTGGTTTGGACTGCAATATATAATTCCTTTCTTTCTCTCTCTCTTTTCTCTCCCTCTGTCCCCTTGGGACTGAGAATTGAACTCAGGGTCTTTATACTGAGCTACATCCCCAACTCTTTTTATTATTTTGAGACAGGGTCTTAATTAAGTCATGAAGCTGCCCAGCCCAGGCTCAAAATTTCGGTCCTCCTGCCTCAACTTCCCCTAGTACACACACACACACACACACACACACACACACACACACACACACACACACGCGCGTGCGTGTGCACACACATGCACATATACCCATGTCACACACAAACACACTCTTACACTAGCAGGCTTCCAGAAAACTGTTGCTTGTACCTATAGTCAAGCCACAGAGTCACTGGTCACAGTAGAAGTGGCCCCATCCCTCTAATCCATCTCCTGCTCCTTAGTACACAGGCCTAAATTAAGGGCTCAGCTTCTCGGCCCAGCAGCTCGACCTTGATGTATCTCTGTCACCCACCCTAGAGTTCTGGAATCCCTATCGCCTCCCCTGTTTGTCTTCTCCCTCCCTGAGTACAAGGAGGTAAGTGATGAATGACACAGGGTGGAGGAGGTGGGGGAAAAGAAAGAGAAGAAGGAGGAAGAAGAGAAAAAAGAAGACAGGCTCAGAAAGCAGAACTAACACAAATGCAATTGTGCATGCCTGTAATTCCAGCTACTTGGGAGGCTGAGGCAGGAGGACCACAAATTCCAGGAGCCAGCCTGGGCAAGTAGGCAATACCTTGTTTCAATAATAAAAAATAAAAAGTCAGAGATGCAGCTTGGTGGTAGCTACATTTCTAGAAACAACAACAAAAAGAGAGAACAGTTTATCTATACAGAGGGTGACTGAGCCATCTGTGGTTTCTCCAGAGAACATTCTCACCACGGTCATAAGTGTTCTGAGGGGAAAACACGCAGTCAGAAGATGCCAGCTATGCGATCCCAGCACTCAGTATGCGGCATCGCCCTGTTCCACTGCCTGGTGAGAAAGATAAGAAACTTTTAAGAAGAAGGATAGGATTTTCTCCCCAGGGCTGAACCATCTGGCACACGGAAGGTGTTCCATAAATATTTGTAAAACGATTAACTGTTTTTATAAACCAATTCTACGAATACTTTAAGCTGAAACTACCTATGCTTGTTCTAGCTTTTTTCAAAGTCCCTGAACTGGCTCTGTAAAAATCAACTGCCTCTAACACCTTACATAGTAAGTGTTTGAAGTTAATACTAATAATAAATACTTACAGGCTCTAGGTGCCAGGCCTACACATAAGTGTTCATATGCACATACATGTGGGCACATATGCCCAAATGTACACACATGTATGTACATGGTTGTACATACAGCAACACTGTGAGCTGGGCCCTGGCATTATATTTTTTATAGATGACAAAACTAAAACTTTGCCCAAAAACATGCAGCTAATAAGCTACCTGCAGTAAAACACAGGAAACGCAATAGACCCAAGAAATGCTTCACCATCTATTAGGTTCCACTAGTGATTATTAATTCAATAAGGAAGGAATGTTTAGTCAAAAAATATTTAAATGATTTTTTCTTTGAAAGGGACACTTGCGGATTCAAAGAAAATGCACAAAACTTTATTTGTAGAGTAACTAAAATCTGTTTCTAATTAACCACAATTTTTAAATTTAAAAAGACACAAGCATAAAACCAAAACTTAAAACATTCATTCTAAACAAAAAATCTTTAAGACTCCAATAATCTCAGAACCACCACCACAATCCCCCCCACCCCCCACCCGGCCTTCTGAATGCCTGGGGCTCCTGGTGCCTGTCAGAGTCTTGGTTAGCCACATGATATCCCAGCTACACAGTCTTTCCATGGTTTTCAAGGTCCCCTTTCTGCCCCTCCCCATCTGCCCATCTGAACAAGCTTTTCCCTCCTGGAGGTCTTCCCGGTCACCCTTAAGAAGGGTCAATGTAGGAAAACATAAACTTTGCTTAGGGACTAAGTCTTACTCCTTTCTGAAATTCTTAGGGTACCTAAACCTGCATATAGAAATTCCACAGATGCTGCATAGAAAATTTCCTCTCTTCCAGATCAAAAATGGATAGAGATGTTTTCATCAGGAATTAGCATACACGGCACAATACCAGCAAAAAGACAACCAGATTGGCCTGCCCTACAGGCTGCCCTGGGGCAAATGCCTGATCCTCAGTGGGCCAGGGCAGGAGAGGACCATGCTATGGCCTCAGGAAAGGGATGCCTTCTCTCTTGATAAACCAATTTTTTTACCCCATAAACAAAGTTCTAAGCAATATTCATTTTCAAACACCCAAAGTCTAGAAGTACCAGCCATGCGGCAGGAGCCTGTAAGTGGCTTCCTTAAAGCTTCCTGGACACTCCACCACAGTACTCTCCCCACAGCGGAGGATGCCAAGTGGGTGCCAGCCTTGACATCAGCACAGGCTGGGCCAGTAAAAAATAGATGATAGCTTCATTCTTTCTAGGTTCATAATGGTCCCTTTCTTCACAGAAGGTGGGATCAGAAAAGAAATGGCATTTACCAGTTGGCTGCTTCCCACTCAAGCTTCTTCTGTCTCCTGGGATTAGAAGAAGGCAAAGGTGCAAAGTGCAAGACTAAGTTGTCTTGAGTAACTGGCATGGCCTTCAATACAAGTCATGTAAGCCAGTCCCTAATTTCTGCAGAACAAGACCTGCTTAGGTGCCACTATAGGGAAAGGGCTCAGTTCTGTCAACACCTGTCAAACCAGCAGCAGGGGTTAGCCAGGATGGATAGCTAGCTGAGAATGCACCTCATCGTTACCAGCCATGGACTCTCGACTCTGAGGAAGTGCAGGAAGCCAGCTCTCTGCTCCATCACTTTTGTAGTAAGCATGACAGACTGCTTCTTTATCTTCTGTCTCGGGTCCTTCTAGTTTGCTATGGAAATCCCTGGACATAAGGTCACGAAGGGAACGATGATGAGAAAACACAATAGCCAGCTAACGGGATGGTACTCAAGGCTGAGTTGTCCACAAGATGGACATAAAAGGAGTTGACTAGGAAAACAGGGTCAAGGCTGAGAGCCAAGGAAACCACCACTCTCTCCAGCAGGCTTACTCTGAAGCAGGCTGAGACTCCAGGCAATCGGAAGGGAGGTTCTGTCATGGTTCCTAGGTTTTTCCTGTCTTTACTCATGGCAAAGCCATCCTCCAAAAGCTGCACAAAGGACAGCCGCCATAAGACTCAATGACTCCTGTCTGCATTTTGTTGTCTAATAAAACTTTTCAAGAATATTATTTTAGGGGCTGGGGATTTAGCTCAGCGGCATAAGCACCTGCCTTGCGAGCAGGCAGTCATGAGTTCGATCCCCGGTACCGATTTAAAAAAGAATATTATATTACAAGTTACAGGCAACTGCTTCCAGAAAGTGGCTTTCCTTGCACAGCTGTTCCATTGTCTTACCTGAAAGAATTGAGAGTCATACTTAAGTGGCCTGTGGCAGCTGCGACCCACTCATGTCCCAGTGAGATGGGTGGGAGCCCCAGGGCACAAGATCCTGGCAGACCAAATCAGCAGTACCCCCAGAGAGCAATTCCTTCATCTGCATACCTCTCTGGTGCCCTTTGGGTTCCTTACATTTCTTAGTAAATCTATAACAAGGACTAAAGGAAACGAGGGACCCCAAAGATAGACTAAAAGAATGCTGTTCTAGCCACTCTAAGCACTGGCCTCCCTACATATATAAGAAAAACCAAGAGCAATAAAGAGCACATTCCCAGTGCCCTTTACAGCATATTTCAAGAAACAGAGGCATTTAAAAGGCCAAAGCAAATGAAATGTCTGTTCTATAAGAAATACTGGCAAGATATCAACCTTGGACATGTGTATCTCAGACACTCTGCTACCCAAAGCTGGCCCGAAGATGCCAGGGCCCACATTGTCCCTTAAAGTCTAAAAGGCCACTAGGTGGGATGAGTCTGAGGGTCTAACATACCTGCAAACGTGGCTATATGCTCTTATATACTCAGCTTGCTCTCTACTTGTGGAATTAGCTGGTGCTTTGAAATTTCTGGACAACCTATCAACCATGATGTCTCCACAGCCTATGTGGGGACATGCAATCTGCTCTGATGAGGGTGGTACGAGAGAAGAAAGAAGCAGGCAATCTGCCCTGCCTTTGTCTAATGAAACAAAATGCTTACAACACGTGATCTGAATATGCCCTAGGACGCCAAGACCCCTCTGAGAGCTTGCCGCAGAGCTCTACCTCACCTCTGGAGTGTTCTTCTTGAACTCTCGGCTCTGCTCAATAAGCCGCTTTCTGGACTGCTCACTTTCATCTTGCCGGTTTGCCAATACTGTTGCGGTGGCATCAAGTTCTCTCTGTGAAGAGACACAAAAAGGATAAACAAGATTGTAATTGTGCACTCTGCCAGGGGGATCATGTGTGCATTTGAGCAGAATGCTGCAGAGACCCCTGGAACCCCAGAGGTTAATAAACTTGGGAAGAGTGGGGCTGGGGACAATGACAAGGGCAGCAAGCCTAATTCACTCACTCTACACACAACCCACAAGCACTAGCCAGAAAAGCCAAACTTGCTCAGCTAGCTACATTATACACTGTATACACTATACAAATGACTGCCTATAACACAAATGCAGAAACATGTGCCTCCTAAAACCAAGGTCTGGCCACTGCCCCCATGATGTCCTCCCTTACTCTGTATCTGCTCTTGGCAGTGTCTCTCAGCCATTCTACTAGTTATGGTTCCCTGTATAATTTGAGCATTCTATCCTACCAGAATGTGGGCCTGGGACTTTAGACAGTAGCAAATATTCACTGCAACCTCACCTTAGGTCAGGCATCATGCTCAGGACCATTAACCTGTTATTATTAGTTTGTAAGAGAGACCTTTAAAAAGCAAATACCAAAGAATAATTGTTTCCAGTATTTTGTAAATCTTTTGGAAGCATAACACCTGGCAGAGTGGTCCTTCTCAAAAACATGTAACTTGGGGCTGGGCATTTAGTTCAGCAGCATAAGCACCTGCCTTGAAAGCAGGCAGTCGTGAGTTCGATTTCCAGTACCGATAAAAATAAAAAAAAAAAAAAAAAAGACAAATACAAAAACACCTAACATGCCCTGGACTCTGAGGACTACCAGGGCTGGGTACTAAAAGAGGACCTGCCAGAGTAGCAGGTTCTGGACTCTGCTGTACCTGGTAACCGACCCTCTTAGTAGCCTCAGATTCTTGAAGGAGCTGCCAGGAGTCGTTCCAAAGTAGCCTGTGGCAGATGGGCCCAGGATGATACTCCACACTTGTGGCAAGAGCACAGGCCACGTGGCTGTCACCACCCACAGGGGATTTAGCTCAGCGGCATAAGCACCTGCCTTGAAAGCAGGTGGTCGTGAGTTCGATTTCCGGTACCAATAAAAATTTAAAAAATTTTTTAAAAAAAGACAAATAAAAAAACACCTAACTTGCCCTGGACTCTGAGGACTAGGCCTGATATCTCACTGAGTGGCTTTATTACTGAGAACAGCAGCTTATTGCACTTAGGACTCAGGATGGCTGCTCCATGTTGGCCCAACATCCTGCAGCTGAGCAGAGCAAAGGCCTAGTAAATAGAGGCTGAAAAGCCAGAGAGGTCATCCATTGACACTCAGGGTACCAGTTGGAATCTTTCCCTACCCACCTCCTGAAGTGACACTGGCTTTCTTTTGTGGTGCAAACAACCCAATGGGCCTAACAGCCCTCCTGGGAAATGATTCACTGGTACCACTTTGGGGTGGCCCACAGCCAGACAAGATGACAGAGAGCTGGAACAAACATCCAGTGTGCTGTCAACTTAAAAATCATAGACAGTTTAAAATGGGGGTGGGGGCAAGGGACTGGAGGGGAAGAGATACCACCATGCCACACTCTTTTAGTATTTCTGTCATAAAAGCAAATCTTGTGCAAACAAGTCCAAAAGAGTAACTTGGGCTAGCATTCAAGAACAGATGTCAAAGCTATTGCAGAAAAGAGGGAAACACTGAACATTTTGATAGACCATATTTGAAACACATCCCAGTTAAGAGAAGGCAAGGGAAAAAGAGCAACCACTACCCATGTGGGATAGAGAGAGAGAAGAAGGAGCAGCCACAGATAAGCAGAAGGCTTTTAAAAATATAAACAATCTGGTAAGGAGGAGGACTTAGACATCTATATTTAAGCAGCAGAAGAAGAAGTTATAAAAGGAGGCTTCAAGAAGGAAGGAAAGAAGCCAATATTGAAATATGACAAAAACAAAAAAAAAAAGTTGATGTTTCATTCCAAGCACACACAGACACAGAGAACCCTGAGAAAAACAAAATGGGCACTGACAGCTTTCAATGAGGATCCTGCTGCCTCCACCATTCCAGAGGCCTAGGTCAGGACCACCAACCAGTGGCATCTGCTGGCTTCTTGAAGCAAGTGAAACACTGGATGTTGGGATCCCAAAGTGATATGGGGAAAGGGTCTAAGACTTTCTACCCAGCAAAGGAAGCAGTGGAAAGATTTTCAGGGACGTCACAAAAACACAAGGTCTGCAGGACCCTCCATTACCCCTGGCTCCCTATCTTGCCCTCTGGCTCTGAGGTCTGTCCTACACAGATGGATCAGGAAGTCTGAGCTGAACAGGTGGCCTGGTGGAGACATAAACCCACCTTGATCATGGCACCACACAGCCAACACACCTGAGGCCACCTGCTGCTGGCAGTCGGAGACTCCGCAGGGGTCTACTGTGCTCCATGCCCCATGCTTGCAGACATATGTGAGCCGACATGAGGAGCCAATGGGGGTCTCCAAATTTAACACTATACTGCCACCCGCCACCTCAGAAACAGATTGGCACAGCGAGGAAGAGAGACTGAGCTTCCAGTGATCTATTGTGCTGACACTATCCCAGATGGAGAGGGTCAGATTTAAGGCTCAAACTCTGATTAAGTCCTTTAAAAGCAAAACCGCCACCAAATCCTTTTGAAAGAAACCAAGGAGCTCCTTTCTAAGGTTGTATGCAGTGTAGAGAAGGAGATGGCTGCTAAATATAAACCAAATACTATCTTATCATCTACAAAGCCTACCTGTACTCAAGAGTATGAAATACAATGATACATTAACAAAGGAATCTAATGTATCTGAATGAAATACAGAATCCACAGCCTATGAGTCATGGGTCACATATAAATAGGTACATAAATAGTTCCCACATCTGAAAGGTATTAAGTCACAAAAAGTAAAAAGCTAGAACCAAACTAAAATGTCCAGCAAATAGCGTATGTGACATGGCTACTCATGGGTCATTCTGCAATGGTTAAAAGAATACACGTATTATATGGGACAAGCTAGTCACTGAGATCTACGTATGCAAAAATGAAGCACCCAGGGAAACTTAGCAAGATCCTGTCTCAAAATAACGGGGCTGTAGGCTCAGTGCTAGAACACCCTTGGGTTCAATCCCCAGTACTACAAAAACAAAACAATACAAACAACAACAGAAAGAAAGAGTAAGTACCAGATAATGTTAGCACAGCTCAAAAGGCTCCATGATCTCCAGAGATCAAGAAAACTATAACTATGCATCCTTGGGGCTGGGGATTTAGCTCAGCGGCATAAGCGCCTGCCTTGCAAGCAGGCAGTAGTGAGTTCGATCCCTGGTACCGATAAAAAAAGGAAAAAGACAAAAAAAACAAACAAAACTATGCATCCTCCTCAAGAGGAACACAGAGAAAGTAACTTACTCTGCAGTATGAGTCTTTTGACTATTTTTGCTACAAACGCATTATTATCTAGTTTGAAAAATGACTATATATATATATTAATTTTAAAATCCTGCTAGCTTGATGTGGTAGCATATACCTATAGTTCCAGCTACCTAAGAGGCTAAGGCAGGAGGATCGCTTGAGACCAGTAACTGGAGGTTAACCTGGATAACATAAACAAAGCAAGATGCTGTTTTAAAAACATAAAAACATGGGGCAGCTGTGGGGAGAGTCAGATGCCACCCTTTTCCCATGAGTCAGCACAACTCTTGGACTGTGGGGAAAGAGAACAAAAAATTACCAAGAAGCAAGCCCTCCCTGTGGATCTGCAGCATGCACAGGGCACTGCGTGGAAAGCCAGATGCCACTCCCTTCCAGCACACGTGATGGGAAACAAGAAGAACCACCACCACCAACCCCTAACCTCCACCACAAGTGACAGGCTGATTCAGAGAAACACAGGCTGCAATGAAAGCTACTGAGGTAAAATACAATTTAATGCTTGTAGTGTTTAGTGTTTCACTGACCTTGCAGGCCTCAAGCTGGTAGTCTAATCATCTGTTCAGAGGATAACACTATGCAATGTAGCATCTATGGGGATCTCCTTCTGAAGGTAGTAGCCATTATTAATTCCTTACCATCTTGTAAGTCCTGTATCATTTTCATTGTTTTGTTGAGTTGGGGTTTATTCTGTTTTGTTTGTCTTATTTTATTATATCCAAAGGCATGGGCAGCTATTTCAAAGATAATAAGATATATTATGGTAGCTATTTTGGATTTACTCTTATCTTGTTTTGAAGTCCTTTATTCTATTCATTGTTTTGTTTTTATTGGTTCTACTCTGTTCTGTTTTGTTGGATTTTTACCATGTCTGAAGGTATGTGCAGCTATTTTAAACAAGAGGCATTATGGCAACCATTGTTGATTTCCTATTGTTTTGAAGTCCTGTGTCACTTACCCTGGTCTGTTTTGATTGGCTTTACTGTTTTATTTTGCTTGGTTTTATTTTCACTAAAATAAAAATTTTAAAAAGCATAAAAACATGAGGCAGGAAGATTATCATGAGTTTGAGGCCAACCTGGGATATATAGTGAGTTCAAGGCCACCCTGAACTATACAGTGAGACTCTGTCTCAAAAAAATTAATTATTTTTAGGAAAAAAAATCTCTGCCATTGTGAAAGAACACATACACATGTATCTATAGAAATATACTTTACATGATATGTCCAAGACACAAGCCTCTTTTGGTCCTGGTCTTAAGGTCTATTTGCAGAGGGCAGAGAGGTCTGGAGTGGGCAGTCTCTTGATTCTGGTGACTCAAAAAGTGGGGTGTGGGCTGCAGCGTAGCTCACTGGCAGAGTGTTTGCCTGGCATGTGCAAGGCCTTGGGCTCCATCCCACACATAGAAAAAAAAGTGAAGTGAGCACATATTATATCAAAACAACAGCTGTTTCTTGTCCAATGTCCTGCCCACTGGCCAGCCTTGGGTTCTGGGGTAGCGTGAGGTGGGGGGTGGGAGGTGGGGAATCAGTGATCATAGCCAGTCAGAGAAACACCACTAGGCCTAGTCAAAATCTTCCAGGGCAAAGCAAGTGG